TCTGGTAATGCATTCATTTTATCTTCAAAATAATGTGACGATGACCGAGGACTTGTTTAGGATCAGAGGAACATCGAGTAAAAATTTTGTTACGTTTTCTACAATCTGTGGCTACAGCAAAATACCTACTATCCACTTGTAAGGTAAAGGTAAAGGTTCCCCTGACACATATGTGTTCCCGACTCTAGGGGGCAGTGCTCATCTCCGTTTCAAAGCCGAAGAGACAGCAACGTCTGAAGACATCTCCGTGGTCATGTGGCCAGCATCACTAAACGCCGAAGGTGCACGGAACGCTGTTACCTTCCCACCAAAGGTGGTTCCTATTTTTTCTACTTGCAGTTTTACATGCTTTCGAACTATTAGATTGGCAGAAGCTGGGACAAGTAACGGGAACTGATTCTGTTACACGGTGCTAGGGATTTGAACTGCCAACTTTTCTGATCAACAAGCTCAGCGTCTTAGCCACTGAGCCACCGCATCCCGCAAATTGTACTGCAACTTGTAGGAGTTGCAAAAATCTGCTGAGCTATTTCTATCATTATTTTAGGACCTTTAATTGGTTCTTTATCGACATTTCTCTCCTTTCCGTTTGCTTAGATGCCATGTTGGATGGGATGGGACCCAATTGGGTTTCTGCTGGAGATGCCACAGAGCACAACACAAAAAGGACAAAAGGGCAGGAGAAAATCAACACCCGGAACCCAGATGTTTCTCTCCAAAATCTCAGAAGCAAACAGCTGTGTCAGTAGGAAAAGAACAAACAGAAGAAATGGCTGCCAGTTTACTCACTGCTTCCTACGCTTATCACAGTGTCCAAAGCCAAGTTAAATCCAGCCTTAATCAGGAATTCCCCAGATAATTTGTCTTTTTACAGGCTGTTGGAAAGTATTTGTTATTCCTTTGTGCTAATCTGTTTGCAAAATATAGTTTAGAATACTTTGTTTTATATAAAATGGGACATTTTGGCCAGTGAAAAAAACTCAACACAGGCTTTATGAACTGTGGCTAAATAGCTGGGGGGGAGGGTCAAAACTGGCTCAAATCTCACTTAGTATATCAGATTCACATACCTAGATCTGCATCTGTGCTTTTCTTCATATCTTTTTGGAGCTTCTTCGTTTGATCTTCCAACCTAAAAATAGAAAAAATAGTTTTGTTTTAAAATGCATATAATTAAAGCTCTCTCTCAGTGCAAAACAAACTTGCAAATGACAAGAAGGAGGAACAGAGAAGAAGTGAGAAGACGGTTGCTGGGTTTTGGTTTGTGAGACGTAGGAGCCAACAGAGAAGACCAGAAGAGGAGAAACACAGGGAATATATATTCCATGGCCGATAGGATTAGGAAGAATCGCTGGAGATCATCAGACAGTAAATGAAAATTCAGCTTTTTCTAACTTTTCTATCAATTTGTCATGGAGGACTGAACTTCCACATGCACTAGAATAGAACAGAACACAATAGAATAGGAGTAAAGTATGGAATAGAATAAATAAATTAGTGGACCAGAGGAATGCTGTCGATATAGTTTACTTGGACTTCAATAAGGCATTTGATAAGGTAGACCATAACCTACTACTAGACAAAGAAGAAAAATGTGGGTTGGACAGCATCACCACCAGATGGATTCGTAACTGGCTGACCAACCACACTCAACGTGTAGTCCTCAATGGAACTGCATCTACATGGAGGGAAGNACTCCCAAGTCGACCCCTGTTCTTTAGCTGCTCCCTTCATCTGGCAACTTTGCGAATGCGCACACTGGAAACCGGCTCCAGCTGTTCGCCTCACTGATGTCGGACTCCGAAGGCAGCTGATAACTGGCATATGGCCCCCTCTCTGCCTCTGACACAGAGCCCTCATCAGAGCCTTCCCGACTCCAGGACTGGCCCATGTTCCTCCCCAACCTCCTCACTGTCCGAATCTGCTGCCAGCTCTGCTGGCCACTGGCAGGCCACAACACTGGTTGTCCTTTCCATGTTTTCATTTTTAGCTAAATTAAGTATTTTGTGGCTACTGAGCATGTTAAATCTTCACCAGAATTTTGCTTCTTTTTAGTTGTTGGGATTTTTACAAAAGAAACCCCAAAAACAGTTTAGCTAACTGTTAACGGTTTCTCTAAATACGTTGGTATTTGCTCTCTTGATTCTTGATGGACCTACTCTTGCTCCAATTCTGTCAGTGTTCATTATATTTGGTACTCATAATACAAGATTGTTATTACGGGAATGTGATTTATAATATAACATAAAATCTTAAAATTAGTTCAGAATATAAAGAGCCAGATTGATGGACAAACAGTTGGGGGGAGGGGGGGTAGTTATGGAACTCTGTTTTTTTATTGTGTGCACAAAGATGGAAAGATACAACAATATAAACAATGGGTGCTCGTTGGTGAAGATCATGGAACTTGTTGAAATGGCCAAATTGACTTCATTATTAGAGAAAAGTACAATGGAAAACTTTGATGTACATTTTGTGTAAAACAGACCAAAATTAACTCAATGATTTATGGTTTGATGACTGGAATAGATAGATACTAGAAAGAAGAGAGTCACGTTCCAACCAGTCATGAGGCATATTTATACTTATAGATCTACAAAGATTGGAAGTCACTTCTTTGTATTTTTTTTCACTTGCTCTTCTCTTTTTCTTTCTCTCTTATGCTTTTAGCTTTCCCTTTGATCTTTTTTTCTTTACATGAGTATTAGTTTTTATCATTGTTTTTAAAAACTTTCATGAAATTGTTTTAAAAACAAACAACAAAATATAAAAAACCATTATGAGTAAGCACAGAAGGCAAAAGTTGATTCTCAACAATAGAGAACAGATGAAGTTCAGGGTTGCACTGTTGATTTCTGGTATTTCTGAGCTTGATTCAGGGGTGAAATGCTACCAGTTCGGACCGGTTTGCCTGAACTGATAGTAAAAATGCTACCAGTTCAGGCGAACCAGTATTTCCGATGATCAGCTGTGACACGTGATTTATATTAGCTAAAATCGTCAGATTTCCTACTTTCTAGTTACCGTATTTTTCAGAGTATAAGATGCACCAGAGTTTTTTTATGAAAAGGGCCACATTTTTTATAAAAAAAAGAGCATGCAAAGCCTTTAGGAAGCTTGTAGAATGCTCCTGGGGGCTGGGGGGGAGGCAGAAATGAGCAAAAAACAGCCTTTTTTTTTTTTTACAAAAATGGGCCCGTTTTTGTCAAACAAAGGGCATGCATAGCCTTTAGGAGGCTTATAGAGTGCTCCTGGGGGCAAAAAGGAGCAAAAAACTGCCCGTTTTCCACCCATTTTTGCCCTCCCCAGCCCCCAGGAGCACTCTGGAAGCCTCCTAAAGGTTATGCACAGCCATTTTTGCAAAGGGGGTGGGGTTTCAGGAGGCAAAAAAAATGCCGTATTCAGTGTATAAGACGCACCCAGATTTTCACCCTCTTTTTTGAGGGGAAAAAGTGTGCCCTATACTCCAAAAAATACGGTAATCTAAATCACGCAGCACAGCGGATTCCCACACACACACACACACAACACACACTGTTCTACTTACTTTTGCAGGTGCGCTCGGTAGCAGGCTCTGCCCACCCGCCGGGATGTCATCACATTCCGTTTTTGATGCTCTGCACATGCACGGAAGGTCCAGTGCACACGCTCACATTTCTGAACTTGTACCAAATGTAAGTTGATTTCACCCCTGACTTTGTTGTTTTCCTGCAGATATTTCAACGCCAGGCTATCAGGAACATCAGTGCAGAAAAACAACCGAACTCCCTGAATGCCGACAGAAGTTGGGTTGATACAGCTTGTGCCATCCACAAGAGATAAGCCAAAATAATTACCTCAACTCTATTAAATTCAGGAAGTTCTGATTTACATCTAATAATTGTGCAAATTCACCTGGCTGCAAATCCCAGCCTAAGAAGCACAGATTGAGAATTTACTGTTCTGTGGCAATTACTGTTCTAAATCTCAAATTGTTAAGAATTAATTGCCTATTTTGTTCTTTGTCATTATTTCAAACTTCACTCTGTAATAACACTAAGTGATTTTTAAAATCCTGAGAGATGCACACAGAGCTTTGCACTGGTGTAGCTGCTGGTACTGTACAATAACACTCATTAACCCCTTTTGCACATCCTCTAATATATAAAGTCAGTAATAACCTGTTTCCCCTGAAAATAAGACCTCCCTGATAATAAGACCTCCTCGGCGCTAGTCATCACTTATAAAGCCCTTCATGGTATTGGACCTGGGTACTTGAGAGACCACCTGCTGCCAATTACCTCCACTAGACCGATTAGATCCCACAGATTAGGCCTCCTCCGAATTCCATCCGCCGGCCAGTGTCGACTGGCGACTACCCGGAGGAGAGCCTTCTCTGTGGCTGCTCCGACCCTCTGGAACGAACTCCCCGTGGAGATTCAAACCCTCACCACCCTCCAGGCCTTCCGCAAAGCCCTTAAAATCTGGTTGTTCCAACAAGCCTGGGACTAAGAGCTGTTGTCCCCGTCTCGAATGGTATGACTGTTGTGTGTGTTTTTTTTAAATTATGCATTGTTATGTGTGTTTTTTAAATTTTTGTCTGTATCCCCCTTCCCTGGTTTGAGTTGTGAGCCGCCCTGAGTCCTTTTCGGGGGAAAAGGGCGGCATATAAATATAACAAACGAAACGAACGAATAAGCCCAATCGGGCTTTTGAGCGCATGTGCTAAAATAAGTCCTGAAAATGAGCCCTCCCCGAAAATATTGCAACACAGCAACAGCCATGAGATGACCACGCTCCATGCCTCCTGCACCTCAAAAAAATTAAGACCTCTCCTAAAATAAGGCCAAGTGCTTATTTCGGGGGCCAAAAGAAAATAAGACCCTATCTTATTTTCGGGGAAACATGGTACAGTTTTGACAAGAACTATGGAACAATCAAGGAAAACTTCACAATTAAGGATGTCAAAACTTGGAGAACTTCTCCTTCCTCCTTAGGAATATATCCAGAGCAAAACGTACCTTCTCTTGATTAAAAGAATCCATTCTTTTCATTGCCGTGTCCAGCGCCATCACCATTTCGAGAAATTTAGGGTCTTGTTCACAGAGAGGATTGGCCAAGAGATCAGATGAGATTTTTACAGCAGACTTCGACATGGCTAGATTTGGGATAGAATTCGGGGAAAAATTGATTAAGGATTAATGCTATTAAGAGATACACAGTACTTACCAACTGCAGCCAGAATTGTATTTGCACAATAACGGAAAAATGATCAGATTCCGTCATATGAGAATGTCATTAAGAAAATACTAGAATGCGCAGAAATGGACAGACTAATACTTATTATTAAGGATAAAGAAGAAACTGAATATTTTTTTACGTGGGATGTATTTTATCAATAGTTACGCAATAGAAACAATTTAGAAAGGAGGTAATATAAAAAGAGGAAATGCTAATGTGGAGAGGATTTAACGACAATGTTATATATTATTGTAGTTATATTAATATATAGCTAGATTATTAATGTTATTGTGATGAATATGATAACAAATATGTGGATTATGACTGTTCAAATAACTGTACCCATATCACAGACCGTCTGATGGAAAAGGAGTGGAGCTGGTGGCAGACTCAGACAGTGAGGAGGTTGGGGAGAAACATGGGCTAGTCCTGGTATCTGGGGAAGGCTCTGATGAGGGCTCTGCATCGGAGGCAAAGATGGGGCCAGGATACCAGTGGGGCAGAAGAACAGCTGGATCCTATTCCCGATGTGCGCATGTGCAGAGCTGCCAGGAGAAGGGAACAGCTAAGGAACAAGGGCTGATTGGTGAGTAAAGCCACAAGTGGACGATGAATGGCCCCTCCCATAGGGAATAAAGAGGAGCAAAAGGGGAGGGGAGTTTGCAGG